TCATGGGTGTCAGGTGCAAGGTGTTCTGGCACGGGTGCTGGCAGCCTTGCAACTGGCACAAACTGTGTAGCCAGCCTGTGGCCCTTTAAGGGCTCCAGGGCCGGGAGGGGGGCAGTAGAGTTTGCCTGCTGTTGGCCAGAGTGGCCACCAGGGCAAGCTGGGAAGGGCTAGCCTCCCACTAGTTCGAATTAAGGGTCTACACAGCCCTTAATTCGAACTAGCAAGTTCAAACTAGGCTTAATCCTCGTGGAAGGAGGATTACCTAGTTCAAACTAAGCGGTCCGTTAGTTCGATTTAAATTCGAACTAACGGAGCGCTAGTGTAGCGCCTATGAAAGTTAGTTCGAACTAACGTCTGTTAGTTCGAACTAACTTTGTAGTGTAGACATACCCTAAGGTACTAGAATAGACCACACCCCAGTAAGCAATGGAAGTGTTGGTAATGCTGCTAGACAAGGGTTACTTTCCATGGTCCTACAAAATTTCGGGTTCAGCAACAGTCAGGTCCTAAAAGTGCTGGACTAGAGAGAGAAGTTCAACCAGTTTAAAAAAAAAACATGTGCCAAGTGTTTTTTTTAAATGGAGGTCTAAACTTAGGGCAGCAAAATCCATGTTCATGCACAGTGCTTCTCAAACTTTTGTAGTAGTGACCTTCTTTTACAAAGAAAGCCTCTGAGTGTGACACCTCCTCCCCAATTTAAAATAATTTTTTTGCGTCTAAGATTATTAATAAATGTTGGAAGTGAAGCAGGGTTTTGGGAAGGAGTTTGACAGCTTGTGACCCCTCCCCCCATGAAATAATCTCATGATCCTCTCAGGGGTCACAAACAACCTGTAGTTTGAGAATCCCTGTTAAAGCACATTTCTTAAAAAGTCAGATTTCTCAAAAGTGTTGTGTACTTACCACTACCAAAGCAACAATTTCAAAAGTGAAAGGTTAGGTTTTAAGGAAATGAACTGACTGGAGTCTAGGTAATTTGAGTGTTCTTCCTTTGACTTCCTGCTGTATAGACAGCACCAAAAGCCAACTTAAGCTATTTTGTCTTCAGCTTCGTAATTGATTTTAAGGTTAACAACATGATCAAATAATGGTACTGCTAGCTATTCTTGTGACCATAGTTTATGGCAATTTGACAGTACACTTTTACAAAAGTCAACCCTTCCAACATCCCTAATTCAGGATAGTGAATGTGTATAAGATGTGAGTTAAATCTCTGGTCACTATAAGGTGAGATTCTTTTTCAAATTGTCAAGCTCTCTGAGTGTTGGGGTTGTGGGAAGTAATACTTCTGAAAAATTTCATTCCCACTATTTCAGTCAGATCTGCTAGGATCTTGAGCTGCATAGGACATGAAATATTGATGTTCATGTTCCAGTGCTGTATTTGGTAGAAGAGTAGTTTATAATTTGGATTCAACTTTCCAGGGTTGCCTTCCTCTTGTGCTGATGTTCGATATGAAGGAAGAAATTGAAATAGAACCAGAGATTGTAAGTCAACTAATGGAACAATTAGATGTCTTCATCAGCATCAAGCCAAAGCCAAAACAACCAAGCAAGGTTGGTGAAAGCCTAACACATTTTTCAAATTAGGAGGTATGTTCTTTGTACACAAAATCCCTAGAATGCCATATGAAATTCTAGCAGACTTACCTGGCATTGCACACATCCCTTAGGACAGGGACTGGCAGTGTGGAGGGTGCAGGAGTCAGGGCAGGGCCTTGGGTATGAAGGGGGAGGGCTCAAGGCAGGAGTCAGCGTGGCAGGTTGAGGAGGGCTCAAGGCAGGGGTTGGGATGCGAGAATGAGAATTGAACGGTGAGGAGAGACTGAGGGCAGGGGCTGTAGATGCAGGAATCAGGGCAGGAGGTTGAGAGGAGGGGAAACTGAAGGAAAGGGAGAAGTGTTTAGGGCAGGTGGTGGCCTGCGGAGGTGGAGACTGTGCATTCTGCCCACTGGCTTATCCCTGGTGGGGGTGCAGAAGGGTCAGTGCAGGCTGGTCTCACCAATGCTGGCTGGAGGGGGGTGGTCAGGATAGGGGGAGGCCACATAGCCTCCCTGGTCCAGGGGACAAAGGAAGGAACATGCAGGCTGGTCCCAGTGGTGCTCCTCAACCCCTAGCCTTGGGAAACAGGCTGGCCCCAGTGATGCTCCCCAGCCCCAGTCTGGGGGGCAGAAGCGGAGGAGGATGTGCAAGCTGGCATTCCCTGGGCCCAGTTCAGGAGGACAGTGCACCTTGGCTCAGGGACTAGAGAGAGGGCCATGCAAGCCAGGCCCCAGTGGTGCTCCCTGGGTCCAGACAGAGGGGCAAAAACCCGTAGTGCAGGGTGCAGGGCAGGCAGCAGGCAGGCTGTGGCTCTTCCAAGAGGTGGCAAGACTGCTGACCAGTAGGGCTTTCCCCCCATCCAGCACTGAAGTGAATAGCTAGGGGGAGGAGTTTGAGGCATTGGGGCCACTTACTCAGTCCAGTGGCCAACAAAATGGTGAGCCCTAGCTGGCCACTCTCTTGATGTGCTATAGCTGTCCCCAGTGGTCACTCTGCAGTATAACTGGCCCCCTCCACAATCACTGCTCCCACTGGTCATTCTGCAGTATCTCTGTCTGTCTGATCAGCCTACCTCCCTTTCCATGCTATGAAATACAATCCCATTCCAGTCACTTTCCATTTTCCTGGCACAACCAGTCCCTGACTTTGCTTTAAATTAGGAGAAAAGGAAACTGCATTCCAAATGTGGTGGTCCTAGTCTTACCATTTAAGAGGAGTTCTTGAACAGATGGACTCACAGATAGACAGACACATATTTCTCATATATATAGAACACGTTATTCCTGGATATTGCATTACAAAGAGCCATTCAGTTTTGTTACACCTTTGTCTAAACTTTGCTACTGCACTAGTGATGCAACCAAATTTGGCTCTATTAAAGAAAGTGCCATTCTTGGATTTCAGTGAAGTTGTACATATTAGGAGTAGAATTTGGTCCATCAGTTTTAAGCTGAGAAATAGTTTCCAATCAAAATACATTTTTCAATTTAATTATACACACGATAAAAATGTTTCAAATGAATGCTCCCTACTACACTAGCTTGTGTTCTGCAGCAGTTTTTTTGTTTTGTTTTAAATATTTGACAAAATTTGGATAATCTGTTTTGTCTAAATGATGGATCCTGCATATCCTTAGGAGAGAGAGTACAAGTCACAAGTAAAACTACTCTTGAGTTGGTTTACAGGATCAAATCTTAGAATCATGGGCTTTCATGGGCAAAACCCACTCCCTCAGATGCATTGAAGTGGAAATAACAGAAACAGAGAGAGAGAGATAGCAGCAGCAGAAGTACCTGTCAATTGTAGGATCCATGCTAATGAAGCTAATTAAGTGGGCTGGATGTGTCCCTAGGTAAATTCATGGATGTTAGGTCTATCAATGTCTTTTAGCCAGGATGGGTAGGAATAGTGTTTGTCAGTGTCTAAAAATGGGTGATGGGAGGGATCACTAGATGATTACCTGTTCTGTTCACTCCCTCCAGGGCATCTATCATTGGCCACAATCAGAAGACAGGATGTTGGGCTAGATGAACCTTTGGTCTGACCCAGTATGGCCATTCTTATATTCATTTCTGATGTCTGATTTGTGTCCATTTATCCTTTGTTGCAGAGACGGTCCAGTTTGGCCAATATACATGGCAGAGGGGCAATGCTGTCCCTTGATGGCATATATCATATTAGAGGATCTGCAGATGTAAAAGCCCCTGATGTCATGGCTTATATAGTTAGGTCCTGTGATGGTGTCACTTGTATAAATGTGTGGACAGAGTTGGGAACAGGGTTTGTTGCAGGGATAGGTTCCTAGGTGAATATATCTGAGGTGTGATATGTGGCTGCTACAGAGGTTTTGCTTCAGGTTAGAGGATTGTCCTCTTTCCCAAAGCCTGTAAGAGAGAGGGATGATTTTCCAGGATAGTTTGTAGATTGTCAGCAGTTTTGATTCCAAATGTTTCTACATTTCATGTCAATAAAAAGGAATATATCATTTTCATTTTGTACTCCTAGACTTCTCTCTTGGCTTCAGCAGATAGCATTGAATGCAAATAGAAAAACATGTTTTTGTTTGTTGCATGAAACATGTTTCTTGTAAATATAATGAGAACTAAACATGAGACTCTTATATCTAACTACTAGCTCACTTGGAAGCTTACATTAGTTGTTAGTGTCATTCCATCATCAGAGTCAGGCCATAATAATTCTCGCTAACTTTTTTATTAACTGTGTTTAATTTAAAAAATGAACAATATTCTTGGAACACACTTCACTTCTAAAGTTGAACAACAACATTATGAAAAATTTTCTACCCTTGCTTCAAAGTGCTGAATACCTTAATAACCACTTATGAATATTGTGTTTCTGCAATTTTATGTTGTTTTCTTAATTTACCATGGTATGTCTTCATTATATAGATTATACTGGCATAATGGTTCTGGCATACCCCATGGTGTACTGTAGAAGCAGCCAGCACTGATCAGGAAATGTTTTTTCTATTGGTATAGGAAGAGCCACCTCAACAAACAGAGTTGGCTATGTTGACAGAAGCCCTCTTCCATTGGCATACCTGCATCTTCACTGAGGTTCTGATGATACCTCTGACCAATGTAGCTATGCTGACACGACTGTGTAGACTAAGCCTGTAGCTCTGAAATACTCTTTTAAGACTTGTATTTTCATTGTTATATTATACCTATATATCAATCTCTTCTTTTCAGTCTGTAATAGTAAAAAGTGTTGAACGAAATGCCTTAAATATGTACGAGGCAAGGAAACGTCTCCTGGGACTTGAAAGTAATGGAGTCACCATAGCAGCAAATCCATCTACAGTTTCATGCCCTGTTGGCCTCTCGTGTACTGGTTTGGACATCTTGCCCACAGCAGGGTTAGGACTCACTGGACTTGGTATATATTTTATTCTTGATTTATAATGTTTGCAACACAGTTCACACATATTGGGAAGTACTGGACCAGCTACACTTTTGAATTCTGAGTAGCATTCAAGGCCCACTTTGATGTTTTAGGAATATTTGTCATTGTAAACATTCTCCAATATTGTAGTAATGGGTAGTGGGGACAGATTTCTGTACAGCTTCTGAAAGGTGGAGAAGTTTAGAAATTTGAAAATTACACTCTACATTAAGCTGAGTGGTTAGAGGAGGTACTCCTTTTTAGGTAGGATAATACATGACAGAGAGCATTTATAAGTCAAGTGTGACATCACATTTATGGCTTTCAGAGAATCCCTTATCCAACTGAATCCTTTTACTTCTGTAGGTATTCTATGGCTTGTCAAATTGAAACTTAGGTGTATGAGCAGGAAAAAGACTCCTTGACTACAAGGTAGCAGTTTGCCATTTAATATTACTTACAGGTTAGCCTTAGCAATCTTAGTAATTTTTGTTTGACTGTAATAACTAAATATTGAATGGCACTGTTTCTTCAGAGAGACAAGGTTGATGAGGTAATATCTTGTATTGAAAAGAAGTTAGCAGAATAAAAGATATTACCTTGGCCACCTTGTATCACTAATGCCTGGGATTGACACAGCTACAGCAATACTGAAAACTACTGTTTGTTTACTTATATGTTGTTGGCATTTGTCTGTCAGTGTAAAGCATAATCCAGGAATGTTTATATTTTCTGTCTTTTTCCAGAAAAAAATATTTATCCCATATGTACTCGAGGAAGGAATTAGCATTTTGTGTTTAGAAGTTATAACAGCTTGATCTCTTTTAGATGTATTATGCTTTCCCCCTATACAGGCAGTCCCCGACTTACGCGGATCCGACTTATGTCGGATCCGCACTTACGAACCGGGGCTTTTCTCGCCCCGGAGCTCACGGGTGGCGGGTCACCACCCGTGTCCTCCGGGGCGAGAAAAGCTTCTCCCGGTCTCCCTGGTCTTCTGGGGGAGTCCAGCAAAGCCGCTGGACCCCCCCAGCAGACCAGGGGGACAGGAGCAAAGCCGCCCAGGCGGCGGGGGTCCCGCCACCTGGGCGGCTTTGCTCTGGTGTCCCTGGTCTGCTGGGGGGGAGGGGGGCCTCCCCATCCCCCTGCAGACCAGGAAGACGGAGAGCAAAGCCTCGGAGGCCACCCGCAGCGGGACAGCCCAGGCGCACTTGGGCTGTCCTGCTGCGGGCATGATCTGCGGCTTTGCTCTCCGTCTCCCTGGTCTGCAGGGAGACGGGGGGCAAAGCCTTGGAGCACGCCTGCAGGGCAACAGCTCAAGCACGCCCAGGCTGTCCCACTGCAGGCGTGCTCTAAGGCTTTGCTCCCCGTCCCCCTGGGCTGCCCAGCAGACCAGGGAGACGGGGGGCAAAACCGCGCAGGAGACGC